TATTTATATATACACTCACCCGAAAAAAAAGCGGTACACTGAAAATGTGGGAAAAATTCATCAAATTTCAACTGACGATAACTTCGTAAATAATAAAGATAGAAAGTTCTATAAAATATCGAAATGAAGCTAAAAATCTCTACTTTAAGAATCAATTTATTTCAATGTTGCAAAATAAATTTATTGAAAATGGCGGATGACAAAGCGCGAGCATGCAAAATTGAAAAATAATGGTCCGAGTTTGCGACGGTGCACGGTATAAACAAAAAATTGTAGCTTATTGGGATCAAAAGCGTACGAAAGTACAGAGTCTCCTCTTTAAAATGCTTTTTTATGCATCTCGATACGATGATTTTTCGCCGAGAGATTCGCATTTGAAGAAAAAGGCAGATTCTTACTTCTAGGCCTCTCACTTACAGTACAGTCTGCAAATCGTTCTCCAACGCGACGGTATACTCGTTCTCGTCCGTCTGAAGAATACAGACAAAAACGAGATTCGTCGCTAAAAAGAACGGTACTCTATTCTGCATATGTCCAGCCTGCATGCTCGACAGCAAAATTGAGTCGAGTTACGCGATGGCGACGCATAAGCGAAGGTACATTTGCTGGCCTGTGCGGAAAAAGACCGTGTTCCGCTAATCTGTTTCGAATAGTGTCAACGGATACATTACATTCGCGGACATCTCTTAAATTGTTTCGAATTTGAACAGCCGTTCGATGTCTGTCTCTTAATGAATTTAAAACAATAAATCGGTCATCGTTTTCATTCGTACAACGAGGACGTCCCGAACCAGGTCTTCTTTGGACAGAATTAGTCTCCAAGTACCTAGCATAAGCACGTTGCACGGTTGACACTGATAAATCAAGTGCCTCAGCAACGTACCTTCGACTTCTCCCATCTTCAATTAACGCTACAACTTGAGCAGCTTTTTCAGGACTTATCGTCGCCATAATTGACCAATAATTTCAATGCGAAAAGATTAATTATTGTTTACTTTGACGAAGTCGTACGAATAAGTAACGCGTCTCGAAAGAAAAAGATCAAGAGAAATCAAGCACTCTTCTCGCAATGTGCGGTCGAGCATAAACAAAAAGTCAGGGCGGAGAAATCACAAAAGATCTGCAGACATCTCCTTCGGATGCAAAACAATTGATTGAAAAATAATGGTTCGAGTTTGCGACGGTGCACGGTATAAACAAAAAATTGTAGCTTATTGGGATCAAAAGCGTACGAAAGTACAGAGTCTCCTCTTTAAAATGCTTTTTTATGCATCTTGATACGATGATTTTTCGCTGAGAGATTCGCATTTGAAGTAAGAATCTGCCTTTTTCTTCAAATAGCGAATCTCTCGGCGAAAAATCATCGTATCGAGATGCATAAAAAAAGCATTTTAAAGAGGAGACTCTGTACTTTCGTACGCTTTTGATCCCAATAAGCTACAATTTTTTGTTTATACCGTGCACCGTCGCAAACTCGAACCATTATTTTTCAATTTTGCATGCTCGCGCTTTGTCATCCGCCGTTTTCAATAAATTTATTTTGCAACATTGAAATAAATTGATTCTTAAAGTAGAGATTTTTAGCTTCATTTCCATATTTTATAGAACTTTCTATCTTTATTATTTACGAAGTTATCGTCAGTTGAAATTTGATGAATTTTTCCCACATTTTCAGTGTACCGCTTTTTTTTCGGGTGAGTGTATATAATTTTTTTTTTGGTTTTGCTAGCTTAATATGAAGTTGGCAGCGCCACGATTTTTTCTTAAATGGCACGGGGTACAAAATTATTATTTGTGGTACAAAATAGTACAAAATGAGTACTAAATTTTCCGATAAGTCGCATTCGATTCTGCTGATTTGGTTCTGCCAGCTTATGAGAGGTGATTTATTGGTCGCAGTTCACTGATGATGACAAAAAAGATCGCGTGTTATTAACGTATACTGTTCTCGCGGCTCGGCGCAGCTCACGTATTCATAGACGCTCTTAATCTCTTCGATCCGCAGCGAATGTACCGCTGCAACAAATTACTAGAACCGTGCGCGAAGCTGAGGGACGCCCCCACAAATCCGCTATCAAACGATTCGACGAGATATCGCGGCACAATAAAAAAAAAGAAGCAATGAAACTAGTAGCGCGGAATGTCAAGAGTGACCACAAAAATATGAGGTACCAAATTGTTCTCTATAATTCTCCTCTCTGCAGCATTTTGGAAGCGATTTGGGGGAAATTAAATGGAGGAAAGGGGACAGGAAAATAAATTAAATATATACGGTGAAAACAGCACGTAATGTAATAATTTATTCATCGGATAATAATGACGATAATAATCCGGGATTACCGTATAACAGGCTAGAATTTATATTGAGGTTTCAACGCAGGAAGTAGTTTACACTCTAATTGAATCCGGCAAATATGTTTGCCCCGAAATCCGAAATGAAGCTTCCGCCGCGTGCAATCATCTCTCTTCCTCTTCACGCGTTTGCCGACTTCAATTTTACAATTCCGTCAAAAATCACTCCGTAAATTAGAGCGTGACACAGAGAAAGGGGAAGAGAGAGAGAGTGAGTGAGAAGCAGTCGGGGAAAAAAGGGAGGATAAAAATCCATCCGCTTGTGCCTGCTTTAACCCGACAGCGAGCTCCTACGGGATTTAGGAAGCGAGAAAGTTTGCTCGGACGATGCCGCGTTAAATTAAATTACGGCGAAATTGCATCGCGAATTTGCGCGTTGCGAGCTTCTGTACAGGCGCGCAGAAAGTAAGAGGAAACGAGGACGCGCAATAAGAGGCATGTGGGATTGCTCGCCCGGATAAGGTACGAATCGCTTATTTTTCCAATTATTTTCAAGAGCTCAGCCATCTTTCTCGGTCGGATGACATTTGCGCAAATTAAAGATTAATGAGATTTCTAATATAGAAATGGAAATTTTTCAAGCCTTCAGAGTAGATTATTTTTTCTGAATATAAAATCAAAGAGAATACGCACTGAGATATCTTTCAGTTCGCAAACTTGAAAACGACTTTTTATAATATCGAAAACTTGTGAATTTTCTTTTGATGCGTATGTACATCTTCTTACTCGCATTGCCGAAGCTCAGCCAAGACCTTCCTTGGGATATCTTGAACTCTAATTAGCAGAAAGTTAACTACCACGAACCTTGCAACATGCCGGAAACAACGGGCGAGACGTCGCGTACGTTTTCGTTGAAGCGAACAGTCAACGCGTGCATTTGCTCTTTAATAGTCTTGCATGTATCAGTTTGCAGTGAAACCGAACTGCTGGATTCTAATTCCGTGGTCTATTACTTTCCACCGAGCTATCTGCCTTTCATTTGTAGAAACCCTCCTCGCGTTCTCGATATTAATGACATACATAAGAGCAACGCCGCACGCCGTGTAATTAACCGTAAGAATAATTCCACGGAAGCAGATATGACTCGAGGCTACTATTTTACACTCGAGTAACGCGGGAAGGAAGTCGAACGGCAAAGGACGCGATATTCGTTACTTGCTTCCGTACTTGTCGAGTGGTACTTACTGGCAACCGCTCGCTCATTACCACAAGTTACTTAGTGATGCATTAATGCGGTGCCCGAGCACACTCAGCGGTCCATTTCCGCGCGCTAACGGTTCGCCTCTCGCCTCGCTGGACCGTCTGAATGCGACGGGGGGAGAGAGCGAGAGAGAGAGAGAGAGAGAGAGAGAGAGAGAGAGAGAGGAGAGAGAGAGAGAGAGAG